TAGCGTTAACGAAGATTCTTATAACGAAGTCCTGATCGGTTGGATCAGCAACTTCGTTATATCGAGGTGTGACTGTAGTACTATTTAAGGTTGTGTTATTTTTTAAAGTTGTCTACCCAACTACTAGACCTTTTAAACTTATCCTTCTTTAATAAAAAAGCAAAATTTAAGGTTTTTATTGAAAGAATATTGTCAGTAATAATGAGGCTAGCTTTGAGTAAGTTATCTACCTATATTACTAATACTATTTTAACGAGAGGGAATAGAATTTTTTTATTATATTTCAAATTGCTTGGTATAAATTGATATCCACAGAAATCCAATGATTTTTCTTCTTTAAAATGTCACTTATCATGCCTTTACTAACGTTATATTTATTAGCCAAGTCTTTTTGTTTTAAAAAAGGTGATGATATTTTTTTCAAACAAAGTTCTTTTTTTTTGTGCAGCTGTAAGAGACTTTTATTTTTTTAAAATATTCATCTTATTTGTTAGTAGGTTGATTAAGTTATTTTTTTGAATTTACTTTTGGTGTTATTGGCATTTTGTAAAGAAAAAATGCGTAAAAAATAAAATATGTAAAAAAAAATTTGAAACACAAAACATAATGTGTAATGCAAATATTTATTTATTTTTTAATTTTATTTAAAAACTAGGTACAAAGAACTATAAAATTTTATATACATAAATCTAATAAAATTCATTTAAGCAAAACTTCATTGTATCAAAAAAAAATTGTTATAGAAACAATTCGTTATAAAAAGGATTATTTTATATATAAATTTTCTGACTTTAATTCGTTAAACATAATATGAATTTTTAATTATTAAATTCAGTATAGTAAGGATTTTTTATATTTAAAAATCTATTTGACACTGAAAATCCATTGTATTGTAAAATTTGTTATATCAAAATTCATTGTAGAAAGAGTTAACTGTATACAAATATAATACATATTGCATGTTTTACATATATAATAAAGTACAGATTTTGTATATATATTTTCAATCAATTTCTATTTTTCATATTATATGTTACGTTTAATTGAACGTATACATTTTCATTCATTTCATATGATGATGATTAATATTTTTAAAGAACACTTTAACGTATTTCTATGTGTTTTATAATTAAATTTAAGGGTTTTATGATACATATTAATAATTTCTTTTGAAAGAGATTTTGGTGTTTATCTATTTATAGTTACTACTATAATATTTAATAATTGATTTGTATATTATTATACAAGTATAATACATATTACATGTTTTACATATATAATAAACTACATATTTTCAATCATTCTTTCATTTTCCATATTGTATACTATATTCAATTAAACGTATACACTTTCACTCATTTTATACAATATGATTATTTTTTTTTTTTAAAATGTTTGATATTTTTATTATAAAAATTCACACAGTAAGATTATAATAAAAAATTTCAAACACCATCTTTTTTTTTTTATTAATTTTTTTTTTAGACTTTATGTCATCTTTAAATTTTCTTTTAATTTCTTTAGCAATATTTGAAATCCAAAAGTTTTAGCAGCTCTAGCTAAGGTGTTTAAAGTGACTGATTGATATTTCCTCCTTCTTGCAGGTTGAATAGATGGATTATAAGAAGTTCCGGAACTTAAGTTCGATTTTTTTAAGTTGTGAGGTATTTTGATCAGTATTCTTGCTTGAAGTAGCCACATTTATTTGCATTTGAGTTTTCTAGTTCCTTAACCATTCTATAGAGTAAGGCATATTAAGATAAAGTTGGTTTGAATTGAACACTCGGTGTTAATTTAGAAGATTGTGATGGTGATGGAGCTTTATTTTGTTGTTTTCTAACGGATTCTGACGATTATAAAATCGTTTTAGTGTCATATGAGTTTTTGGTTTCAGCTTAGTTTCTGTTTCAGCTAGGTTTACGATTTGTTGCTTTTAGTCCTGGTTTCAGATATGACCGTAATTTTGAGGAAGAATTGACTTTAAAACTTTTGATAAGGAATCCCAGGAAAAGATCTAACAAATAATTAATTTTTGATAATTAATTATCAATGCTTTTAAAAAACAGTAAAAATAATAATAAAAAATTGAATAATGAATAATCGAAAATTTTATAATAATGCAAAATTATTACAAAAAGAAATTAAATATAAACTCTATATAATTTTTTTTGGCATAATGTTTAAAATAAAATAAGCGTAAAGAAGACTTTGGTAAAAAAAATAAAAATAAATCGTTCTACTTTGCGAAGAGAATGTGGGAAAAAAAAAATCAAATAAAATATATCAGTACTGTAACACAAGGCTTATTCAACACAATGTCATTGGTTGGATCAGAAGTTCGCCAGTCAGGATGCCTGCGCCACATAATGGCACAGTGCATAATTACCATGTGAAATTTTGTATTCGGATAATGCAATGCAAACACTTTTTGATTGTTGTACCAGAAGACTTGCCAAGCTGCAAGATGTCTCAAATTCCTTAGTTGCTTGGTTTGCAGATAAATACAAAGGAAGGAGTTGAAGGTGAGATTCTGTATCAGCATGTGAAATCATGATCTAAATTTTTTTTTTTTATATGTTGTTATGCCATATATTTGTGTAAATCATGGTAATCTAAATTTATAATTACCTCAAGTTTTTTTTCGTTAACAAGTTAGGTGGTGCTCAATAAAATTTCGTATAGTCCAGATTGTCAAAAGAAAGGACCATTATTGAGAATTTTTATTTTTTTCCGATTCATGGTTCATAAATATACCCGAAATGTGAGAAAACATAAAATATTTTTTCGTTTTATGCTTCTACTACTATGCTTTTTATCTGAGTAAAATCGTATTTTTTTTTTTCGTCACTCGATCACGTGAAAAAATTGTACAGTATTTACAGTACAGTATTTATTAACGAGTTATGCAACATGAAAAATAAAATTTCCATGTCTACAGCTAAATGATGGCGGGAAACATAATCGGTACAATTAACATATTTCGTATAAAAATTTTTTCAAAAACGAAACACGGTGAGCGTGATAATTAATCCCCTCACGTTCTAACTCATATCAAGTAAAAAGTGGTAGCCGGATTTATTTTCCGGTTAATTATTGGTAGGATTTATCACGCAGCGTCACATCCCGGGTCAATTCTTCATTAATACGCAAACGGGCAACGATGACAAATAAATTTATTTTAATGATTTTTAATTTCTATTATTTGAAATACTTCATAATTTGCCATCTCTGTCAGACCTACGGAGATAAAAGATTCCGAACCAGGATAAGCATTAGAATTATAACAATATACTTGATTATTGGTTAAAGCAAGGTTAGGAGCACCACCAAAACTAGGACCAAACTTCCTATTATATAAAATAGCTCTATCCGATTCTCCAGGATCTACTCGTGAGATGTTACCAGTTATACATTTTGAGGTATCTTTTGTTAGGGAGAATAAAAAACTTTTAGAAGTTTTCCACCAAGTGTGCGATGGTCTCCAACCGAGTGGATTATATCCACCAATCAAATCTGTGGAATTTTTTAAAGAAACAACGGCTAAGGTTGCACCTTTATAATCACATATTTCATGAAATTTTTTAGCGTCAAAACCGTCCCTAGTCGCTCTAAAAAGTAGTTTAAAGATGTAAGGTACTCTTACGTAATCATCATCTTGGTCATCAATCCAACTTGATAGTATTGAAAGGTGTTGTTCATTAATAAGTATTGAATCGATTGAAGAGTTTCTCGCGGGTAAGATCGGAAAATTCAATTTAGTTTTAGGATCTAAATGATAACAAATGATTTCCATGAATAAATCCTTTGAAAGGACTTTTTCTAGTGGTATGACATAACGTTTGAAGTCAACGGGGGATATTTCTAACCATCTAATTAATGGAATAAAATCTGACATCAAATCTTTTATCGAGGAGAAATCGTTTGAGGACCAATTAGATATTTCTTCAAGATCAAGAGCGGGTGACACTTGCGCAACGCTCCATTTGATTAAATAATTCCAGACCTCAATTTCTTCCACAAATAAAACGTTTCTGTTTAATAAGATCAAAAGGATCTCTTTATCCAAGGATAAGAAATCTTCGGAATCAAATAATAAATTTGGTATTTCACAGATATAATCAAAACAATAATCTTTCAAAAGTGAACACGCTTCATGTATTAATACGGTTTGTAATATACGTAAAGGATCTTTAAGCAAGTAATCTTGATAATTGTCAATTAAATGTTGTAATAAATATTTTACAATTCCTTCAATATTCATTTCATCTGCCGCAACTAAAATTAAAAGTAAATCTACGGGTTCATAGTTATTAAATTCAAGTTTTCCTGTATAAAAGTATCTAAAAATCGATCAAGAATGATTGATGTATTTTAAAAAAAAGTCAAATTATTTTTCTTTACTAGAAAATTATAACACACTTGTCATTATCCACTTACTTTAAGATAAAGCTGAACACCTTCGGTGAAACGTTTGGTTTTGTAAAGATAATGAATTCTTCTTCTTTTTGAATCCAATTTTTTGAAAACGCAGCGCAAAAATAAGAAGAACGAGCTCTCAACATAATGGAGTGAACTTTAAACTCTTCTATATCATCCTCGGTACCAGCCTTAATAATCATGTCATAATTTTTTTGATTTTCGAAAAGTTTTCCAAGATCCTGAGAAAGTTGAAATAAAGATTCGGATTCCATGTTTTGTTTTTTTTTTTTTTTAAAAAAAAAAAATTTCTTCGATTGATTGAAGTTTTCCTTTTAAAGGATTGTATTTGACGAAAAATTTGGGCTTAAAGGTGTCATCTTATATATATATATATAATTTGCAATTTTTTTAAGTTTCTGCTTTGCAAATGAGAAAAATTTACACGACGCAACATCGTGACGTTTCACCACGTTGACTGCGCAAATAAAATTCTATAAAAAAAAATACCTTGGTATTGGTGTAATGGAAGAGTCAATCAATTTCTCTCAATATAAACAAAATCTTCAAAGAAAAAAAATTTGGGTCGAAAGCATAGGTATGATGACTACAAAATTGATTGTTCTGCAAACATGGCATGTGTTTTGTAAATACTTCGTTACCTGTGCTATGTTATTTCATCATAATTAATTGTTTGTCGACCTTTAATTCTCGGCATGTAATTATCGTAAATCTTTTGGACCAATAATATCGAAAACAACAAAGACAAAGCAAATTTTCCTTTAACAATAAGATAAAAGGTACAAAAAGAATTTAATCTTTTATTACCGAAATTTTTTTTTTTTACACGACGATCATTGGTCCCAGGAAAGATGTTGATCTATTTGCACTTTATGATGTTAATTGTGTGTTAATGTAACTTCAAAGATTACCTAATTTTTTTAAAGAGGTATAAAAGGAATACAAAATATAAACAAATTTGTTATTTTAAAAATAAGATTATTGTTTATATTAACGTTAAGGAATGACTCACTTAATTTCAAATTACAGGATTATCATATCAAATAAATTATAAAAATTTCTATTTATAGGTAAAAAAAAAAAAAAAAAAATTCGCGTTGTACGTGCGCTTGAACCGAAATGACCGTTGTTTATGTTACTGTGATACCACGCGTTTCATCACTCTAGAATCCCCTTTACTCAATTTTATTACCTAGAGTTTTATTATAAAATAAAATAACTTGCACAAATTTAAATTCGTTTTCCTTTTTTCTTTCTTTTAACTTTTGTATCTTCCTTAATCGTTAATTTTAGTCCTTAACTCGGGCTCCCTTCCTTTCTTTTATTTCGTTAATTTCCAAGTCTTTTTTTTTTCTTTTTTCTTTTTTTTTTAAAAAAATTTAAAAAAAAAAATAAATAAAAATAAAAAATAAAAAGGATTATTAAACCATCGATATTATTTGAAGTTTACACCCTTTCGTGATTGTAATGGTCATCCACTCATCAAGATTTGGCAAGTTAAACTGGTCATTTGATAAGAGGGCACCTGTAAATAAAAATGGCAAGGGTAAAACTAAACCCCAACAGAAAAATCCACAACCTAAGAATGCCAAACAACCCACACTCCCTTTAAAAAAACCACAAAACACGCCTGAGAAGACTAATGATAAAAATGCCACACCCCCTTTAAAAGTACCACAAGACACACCTGGAAAGACTAATGATAAAATTCCAAAAAATAAACCCAATCCAGAGGAAGGTAAAACGTTTCCAAAAGGTTTACCCAATAATGATAAAAATAATGATAAAGGAAAAGGAAAAGAAGTTCCAACAAAGATAAATGAGCCTAAACCAAAAAAGATAGAGAAAGATGAATTTAAAATGAAGGATCAAAAAAAAGACATAAATACCACTATGATAGGGAAAATGCCTCCTACAATGATTCCAGAAAAGGCTCCATTACCTTTGGAACAAGGCAAATCGCAAACATTATCAAATTTTACTATCATAGTAATCGGTGCGATCGTTTTTGGGGTGTTTTTGGTAGCGTTCATCGTTTATCGAAAAAGGTCTAATTCACGAAAAGGTGCGGTGCGCCTTTATGACAATGATGATGAATCTCAAATGAATGAAAAACCAAGGTTCATTGATAAATCCACGATAACCTCGCCATCACGCATTCAAAGCCAACCTCCAACGATTCAATTAACCAGACTTTCTTCAACCAAAATTCAACTTAATGTTACTCCTTCTGAAAACAATTTCAATAATAATAATTACAAAAATAATTATTTGTCTCCGTATACAAACGATCACAACCTATCATCATCTAATAGAATCACTTTAGGAGATTATAATGATTATAATGATTATAATATTCAAGGAACCACCGATTATACGCAAAATTATAATGATTATTATCAAACGCGGAATAGTTATGCCTCAAGTCGCGAATCATATTCTTCTTCATTAGGAGTCGCTTTCCCTGTACCACCTCGAAGAATTTCCGATAATAGCGTCAGTACCGCTACGCCAACAAGTGCTACCTTCAGAGATCACAACAATTTCCCAAAAAGTTATCAGGTGAAGAATTTTAATGGTAGATTTAATTAATTTCAACAATCCTTTTAATTCATAGTATTGTAGAAATCCTCCTTTCAAAATTAATCTGTTATATAAAATTGTAATTTAAATTTAATTTTGTATTAAATATATATAACATATATATATATATGTATGTATTTTCGAGTTTACTAAAAATAAAAATAACATCCCTGATTGAAGAATACAGTCTTTTGATCATTATTATTTTACATAAAAAAAAAATATATCTCTCTCTTTCATGCTGTTTTTATATCTTGGTTTCATGGTACTTTTGCATACATTGAGAGCAACACATCCCTGTTTTAACTTATGCAAGAATTGTTTCGTAGGTCCAGTGATAAAAAGGAAAACATGCATCATCCACTGCAACAAAAAAGACACAAATCAAATGATTCATTGTAATGTAATTCAAATGATTATTTATACCAAGGTTTAGATTCCATTTTATTAAGAAACTTTGTAAATGAATTTTGTGCTAATACAAATTTAGAAATAATGGCCGATAATGCTATGCATTATGGAAGGGCATTTGTACGACCAATGGTTCTTTTAAACTGACCGTTGACGCAGTTAATATGGCTTATATGAATCTTCGTAAAACGGGATGAGCTGCTCTAGTTTAAGCGTCTTTTAACGGAAATTTCTCTCCCCCATCTTTGGCTAATTGTTTTTTCTTTATATTCTTTTAAAAAAGAAAAAGAAATTAAAAATGTATAGTGAAAATGAGGGAAATTCGCGTGAACGAATTCACGGTCCGATTGAATTTATTATGATTGGTTGTCTATTTTTAGTAATCTTAGTAATAAGATGACGCCATGCACGTTTTCGTTTTTTTAAAGAATAAATTTATTGAGAAATATTTTCCCCCAAACAATCCTTAAATCTTCGACTTAAAATTATTCATTTATCTTACAATCACGTTAACTTTAATAGTAGGTTGACCTACTTTCCTGTACTACAGAGAACAATTGGCATAAATACATTAAATGTACAATAACTTGCAAATAGGTTACGGTCAATCTCCATCTTTACAACCACAGGTAATTGCTGGTACGACCTCCGAAGGAGAGGAAGAGGGTCCTAGTATCCCTAATGGTAAGCATTCACAAATTATAATAAATATAATAATAAAATTACAAAATACTGGTAATTCATTCTCGTATTACATTGTTGTTATAACTCAACCTTTTTTTTTTATTAAAAAAAAAAAATTAAATTAAAAAATACTCGATAGTTCGCCTTTCATTCATTACCGCAGCAGATCAAACAAAATTTGAGCAGCTTTATATACATGGTTGTGCTGGGGGCAAATATTTAACAGGTAAAAAATTAAATGAAATATCAAAAACGTGTTCATGACAACGGTTATTCATTGATCTCATTCATATTTCTTTTTCAAATTAAGGTGAAGGTGCAAAAGAAATCCTTTTAAAGTCCAAACTAGATGCCACCACACTTGCTCAAATATGGTTTGTTTATTTGATTCAAAGGTTTTTTTTTTTTTTTCCATTTAATTTCTTTTGATTAACTTTTTATTATTATTTTTTTTTTTAGGAAATTATCAAACCTCTCAAAGAACAATTATCTTACCTTTCCCGAATTTGCTCTTTCCATGTTTCTCACTAATTTAAAACTTAAAGGTAATGAATTACCTAGTAAAATAGCCGATAATATTAGTAATGAGATAATGGGGGTTATTGAACAAATTAAAGCTATTGAACGTGAACATCAAAAGCAACAGCAGCAAAAGCAACAAATTTCACAAATTCAAAGGACTTTAAGCCCTCAAATAATGCTAAATCAACAGCAGCAACATTTACAACAACAACAACAGCAGCAGCAACAGCAACAGTTCATAGGAATGTCAATGGGTCATACTGTGGGTCAATATGCTTCAGGTTTCCAGAATAATGCTATGATTCCTAGTATGATGCCTTTTACACAACGCATGTTGCCACAACAAAATCCTCAACAACAATATAGCACGACCGGTATAGTAGGAAATGCGAAAATTCCTTGGGCCGTAACACCTGAAGAAAAAATTCAATATAGGGAAATATTTAGGCAATGGGATTCACAAGGAGTGGGATATTTAACAGGCAAGTTATAAAATGTATGTTTTTTATTTTTTATTTTTATTTTTAATTTTTTTTGCTTTTCACTTCATATGAATAATTCTATTTCAATAGGTGATAAGGCAAGAGAAATTTTTTCACAAGCTGGATTACCTCAAAGTGATTTAATGCAAATATGGTGAGTAATTATAAAATTTCTTTTTTTTTATAAAAAAAAAAAAAAAAGAAATTTCATACTATTTAATTAAGATTCATGACTTTATTATTTTATAGGAATTTGTCTGATCCTAATAACAATGGGAAGTTAAATCAGGATGAATTTGCTGTTGCCATGCATTTAATTTATAGAAAATTAAACGGTTATGACATACCTTCTACACTTCCGCCTGAACTTATTCCTCCTTCTACAAGAGAATTATCAGAGAGTGTGAATATGATCAAAAATATGCTCAAATCTGATGCTTATAATTCAAGCATTGGATTAGGTACGTATACATCAGGTGCCAATTATGCGAAATCAAGAAGCTTTACTTCGACACCTACAATTGGTGTAAATGATGCAGTGGTATATAAGCATAAGGATGAAGATGTTGGATATGTCTCCTCTTCGAGGCATCGAATTCCTACCGTGTCTCGTAGTCAATCTTCTACATCATATTCTTTATCAAGGTCATCATCCACGTCTGAACTTAATGGTG